CAAGCAAATTCATATTCACTTGCCAACACTCTCCTCTTAACTTCAACAACTCATTCTCTCTAAATGGCTTCCGGAAGAGAGGTACACCGAGATAACACCGTTTGGCGGCCGGTGAACAAGGCTCCAAACCCAAGAGGTCCAAGCTATAGAGCTTCAAGCTCCACTCCTACTCACCGCCGCCGCCCGGTGTGTGAATTCTTTCGAAAGATGCTCTCCATGCCTCCATGGCAATTCCAAGATCAGCTATTCGAATCCCCTTGGATCCAACACCCAATATCTGCTCATACAGTTGTAGAGGTGCCGAAAGAATTTCGGGATAAAATAAGAGGATGGTACAAGGCACTAACCATTCCAGAACTTCATACAATACCACTGTCCCATGCTTGGTTTTTGCTAAACTAAGAAATCAACCTCACTCTCCAGGGATCCACCTGCCAGGCAAATCAGGTGTTAGTTCCACTTTCGAGAGGATCTGCATCAACATCCTCTCGCAAAGACCGACAGAGAGAGATCTAGACCACCACATCTCCATCATGTCAGTACCATTGGAAAACCCAAATAAAGATTTGGGACTTGGGTGGGACATAGAGACCTTTGCAGATCTCAACATGGGAGAAGAGAGCACTTCCCACAGTGCTCAGCCAAACATCCCCTGCAACATTCCGCTTAACATCCTTTTCTTCAACACTGAGGGCGTCACTCACCCTAACTTCCTCAAACACTACATGCACTTACATTCTAGCGGACACTTCCACCTCGTCATCATCACAAACATAAAAAGGGGGAAGCGAGGCCCAGTTCATGAACCAAATCATGGGCTTTCCTAACACCAAGACCATTGCCCCCCTCCTAGCGGCATAGAAAGGGTGAGGGGCGGAATCTGGTGCCTATGGAACGGAGCCGAAATCTCCTGTGAAGTAGTGGAAATTCCGCGGAATCAAGCCATCGCCCAACAGGACCACATCTTTATCCGGCCGGCTCGCACCGAATGAAATTTAAAATGTAAACTCATGAGCAATCCAAATGCCCCCATTGTATCAAAAGCCTAATTTTAGACGACTCTATCTGAATACTTGTCTGCATGAGTTTATATTTTTCAAAACTTTTTAACATAGTCATGTACAATTACTCTCATTAGCTATAAGAGCATTTGTACAGGGGGCATTATTGTGGGTACTTGTATTAAGCTCAATACGTGGCAAGCCCTACAGGTGCCACAACACCAAAACCCCACCCACGTGGCAGACCAATAAGGCACTACGTCGGGCATGTCGTATGTTTGATACATGGTGAGCCTTATGGGCGCCATGTGCCAAGGCAACCAAAACTATATGCTTAGCCTAAGCGGGAGCATATATACAAGCCCAAATATATCTAGATATGAAGAGCCCTGCAACAGGCAGCACCATGGCCCCGCAGGGTCCATGGTCCTTCATACCTCGCTCCAAGACCAAACAATAATACAATCTGCCCCCAGTTCACTTGGACTTGGATTGATAAACACTGGCTCTCCTAAACATTGAAATAAGCCCGCGGTCCATGCTCCTACTTGGTCGTTTAGAAACGAACCCCTCTCCTAAACATTGAGAAAAGCCCGTGACCTATCCTCCTACTTGGTTGCCTGGAAGCGAGCCTTTGGCTCTGCTAAACACTATGGTGGGCCCTAGCCCATTCACCTACTTGGATGCTTGGGTTGGGAGCAGGACCCAAGCACTACTGCTCGGGATCATCAGAGGATACTGGACTAGCGGCTGAGGTTATGGGATCGTCGAGATGGTTGTCTTCTTGCTAAGACAACTCCATTTCGACCAGGCTTGGAGAAGAGGCAACAATGACCTTATTTTCATGTCATCCGATGCATATACAAAACGTTACTTTCCGCCTGCCATGAAGCGTTGCTCTCTGCCTGCCGTTGAGCCACAGACGGCAGAAGGGCTTATATCACTTTTGGCAGAGTTGGGGAGAACGAGCCACCTGTCCAATAGTTTGCTTGGGCTCCAATACTCCTGTGATCTATATAATGTATCGTATATGCAGCGAGACACAACAACAACAATACAGCCAAGTCTCATGCTAAAACACCCTCTCTCGCTTTACATTAGTATTCAAGGTCTGTCACTGCCAACCTCTCTCTCTCCAAGCTTGCCTTGATCTCCTCCTCTCCACATCCGGTGATCCCAAGTCATTGAAGTGCCCGCCATCTTCCCGGACTACCTCTAACCACACTTCTCACCCACAGTTTGCATCTCTCTGCCTAAAAAAATATTCTACACCCAAAATTAGTGAAAGCATATATGTCAATCACTGCTTGATGTTTCTTTTCATAGAAGAGAAGAACTAAGGCACAAAGCAGGATCTTCCCCTTGCTTTTCTATGGATCTTTGTTTTATCAGCCTTTTCTTTTTTCTCTTTTATTTTTTGTTGCTTGTGGAATCGATTATACAATTATCGTGTGGTCTTGTTCATTTTTGGGTAAAAGAATTGCTCCTGCTTTTTATATGGATCTTTTTCCTAGATTTTTTTAATGTTCCTTTTTATTTTTCATCTTTTTTTGGGCGGAATTTCTAGTAGCTTAATGTTTATTTTCTCTTTCTGATTTTCAGGAGTCGATCGTCATATTAAAATCGCGACTAGAATTGCAACGAATCTTATTTTCTAAAAGGTAAAGCTTTTTTTCTTGTCAATTCTTTCTTTTAATTTTTATTTTCTTTTAATGTTTTGGTTCTTATGCTTTGAATTTACGTATTAGTTCAGAATTTACTTCCAGAATTGACTCTCGGTTTGCTTTCTAGAAGGACTTAGAGGTTGTTGAATCTTGACCATTGTTCAATTTATTATATGAGTGCTTTGATGTTGTGTAGTCCATATTCATTGGCGCTTGAAAATCCTGTTAATAAATCAGATAATTCAATGCTTCCCCTTCTCCCTAACGTCTGTTTTTTTCTCTCCCCGTAAGAATATAGAAAATGAAAGTTTAAATCATGATTAGTTTAAAAAAAAAAAAAGATTCTTCCTAAACTTGTTGCAATTTACAAAATTATAAAAAAATCATGAAAATGCACTAATGTTCTTGTGTCCTCAATCATCACGAGACTTCTACCATCACATGAACACTTTAGAAATGCCTTGGATATGAAAAGGAGGGATCTAAAGAGAGTAGCTCAACATTTTAGAATCTCAAAAGAATTCCAACTCTACAGTGGTATAAAGATCAAATTTCTTAGGTAAATATGATAAAAGATGGAAAGATAGTCACTACGTAAGAAACAAATTTTGTGGTGGAATAATAAGAGGCAAAACAATTATCTTCATCTCATAGTTTACCAGTATTGTTCACATGACTTTTGACCATTTTTCAGTTGATACTCTTGCTTTGAATATATTTATGAGATGTTAATTCAGAACATTTTTTCTTACTTTCAAACTATTTGCTGTTAGTTTTACCTTGTGGATGGTGGTTGGTTTATTCATGTATCATGTGACATTGTCTTAATCTATGTTGGAAAATTTGGAAAGTTGCCATTATTTTGCTTTTTGTTTTAATGAGTTGCTTCTAATTATACTATTTTCTTTATTTATTTCAAATACCTTTATAAAGTAAAATCCACTAAAAGCTAGGTATTCTTTATTTTGTTTTGTACTATGTTACTTCAACATGATAATTAACTTTCTTCCACATAAAAAAAGAAGAAAAACTACAGGCATGACTGAAACTAATAATGGGGTGGATATTTTTAATCTTTCTACGGACATCAATTTCTTCCACTTACGTAGAGAGTGGGGCTTACCTCATACTACATTTGATTTCACGTTAAAATTTGCTTGAACCACGGGCATGGGTGATCGTGCGAAGCACGATGCCTCGCAACTAGTAATTGATAATGTTTCAATGTAATAGTTCAACTTTATAAGCCAACACCAAAATTGGCTTGTTTGGTTTGCTTTTGGGAGAGCTGTTTTTGAATTTTTTTTTCAAAATTTTGTTTGGTTTGTGGTTTTTCTCAAAATTTTTTCAAAATCACTTTCTCTCTCTTACATATCAGTCAATTATTTTTTCTCTTTCCTCTTTCCTTCTCAATCACTTTTTCTTTCACACACATCAACTTAATTACAATAAAATATTGAATTATCCCAAACTCCCAAACTTCAAAACTACTTTCAAAATATATAGCCAAACAAACCAAAAAAAATTTTAAACTCTCTTCCTAAGTTTTTATTTTTTTTTGAAAATCACTCTCTCAAAAGTAAACTGAACACATAGTGCTTTAACAAACAAGTCTCTCAAAATGTAATATAAACATTCTCAATGAACTTTCAAAAAAATAAAAAAAGAAAAGAAAAGAAAAGAAAAGAAGTCAACAAATGTCCAAGCAACCCCATCATGTAGACATTTTCAAGTTCTACCATTTGTGTCCTCTTTTGGATTGTTAGCTTGTGATTGTGCTATGTCATTTAACATTTTTGTGAAACTTGAATGTTCGAACATCGAAGATGGAGATGGATAATGATGCTCCTATCAAAAAACTAAAATATATTAAATTTCATACAACCATGTAAATATATACACACTGGAATATTACGTAAGTTGGACCCAATATTTCAAATTCCTGCAATATAAGAAGCAATTAGACAATCTAACTATAAATAAATCATATAACTATAAAATTAATGAATAAAATAAACTTCTTACATTCAGTTGAATACTCTTTTCTGTACCAAGATCAAATCCTATATTTGAAGGTGCACCAAACTCGGATTGCTACAGAATATAAAATTTGAAAGTTAACAAAATAATAGCTTTTTTTTTAAAATTAATTGTAAATTAACTTATTCAAATAATTTTCACATCTTTATACTTCCTTGGATGTTGATGGTCTTTGTCTTGGTCTTTGCTTCTTCTTAACAACTCTTTCAACCATAGGCTGTTTCCTTTTACATGGTGACCTCCCCTTTTGATGTAAAACAATTGGATCAAGTATGGTTCTACTCTCCTTTGACTTTCAAACACCATCTCTATAAGTGGTTGAATTATGATGATTACTCAGAAAACTAGACTTATTATTTCCACAATCAATTTCAACTTCTTCTTTGAATTTCCCTTTTAGTTCAAGTAGTTGTTTGACCACCATATCACACATATTTTCATAATCAGTTGCCAAATCAGCCACATCATTGAAGACATTGAACATTTTATTATACTGATGTGTTTCAGGCAACGTTGAAGGATTGTTATAATTGATAATCATTTTACTATGGCACATTTTCACATTGTTGTTCCATCTTCTTAAAATGTACTTGTTTGATATCTCATGGACTCTTTCTTTCATTAACACCACAATTTGATGCCTACACACTATTCCCCTAAACTTGAACAACTGACAACTACAATTTGTGTCAAAGTTTTCCTTGTCAAAATACACAGTGAAAGGTGCTAATTGGAGGTTCTCTCCAAATGGAACATCTTCACCTACTTCATATATAGAAAAATCAAGACCTTGTGTATACAAAGTCAAATTGCAATGAAGGTGCCCTACAACCTCCTGTTGGAACTCTTTAAATTTTGCAATAGTGTAAGCTTTTTGAAATTGCTTCTCAAATGGAGTTATGCATGGGATGTATGAGTTGAGAGAATTAAATTCTTCACCATTTTCATTTTCCACCGTCGCCAAAGCATTCTGATATTGCTTCACAAATTGTTTCAAAGTGGTTTTTGAGTTGATGTACCAATCAAAGAATGCGTGCATGCTTTCACTTTACTGTGTGGTTGACATTCTTGCTCAAAAAATATCTTTGACAAATGCAGGTACCCATTGATGCCTATCCTCAAACAATCGAAATAACCATTCATTGCTTTCAAGTTGATAGTTCTCAATGAACTCATTCCAATTTTCTTCAAATTCCTTTTTTTGTTAAGGAATCATAAACTGCATTTTGTATACCAAATTTTATTGCCTCATATTCTTTGTATCCTCTCAATTTTTCAGGTAATTTTTTTCAAGATATGCTACAAACACCATCGATGACGCACATTAGGGAAAACAATTTGTATAGCATTTTTCATGGCTTTGTCTTGATCTATAATAATAGCATTTGGAGGACATCCAGACATGCATGCAAGCCAAGACTTAAGTAACCATGTAAATGTCTCTATGTTTTCACGTGGAATGAGTCCACAACCTAACAATGTCGATTGTCCATGATAGTTGAACCCAATAAATGGGGTAAAGGGCATATCATACTTATTTAACAAGTATATCGTGTCAAACGTAACCACATCGCCAAACTCTTTAAATGCAGCCATACTCCTTGGATTAGCCCAAAATACATTTAGTAATTGGCCCTCTTCTTCCAAATCCAAGACAATTTTTTTTTTTTGAATTATCAGCTTGCATTTTCACAAAATAATTATGCATTGCAGTGGCATCTCCTTTCTCAAGTTTCAAACGACGAACTTGTCCATATGATTTCTACAATCTTTCTCTAAATATGACAACTTCTCATGCCCTTCAGCCTCAAGCACAAGTAAAGTAAAATTTTTGTTCATCCTAATTCCTGCACTATCATTTAATTCAAGTCTTCTTTTCACATGTGGTTCAAGAATCCCATTTTGCTTGAAAAAATGAGATTTGCTTGGACTCATTTCATGGTTATGCTCAAGTCTTAAGGATTGTAGTATCCACATTCCATCGGCTTGTAAATTTGCATTAAGTCCAGCTTTGCATCTCGTTTTAGTTTGTGAGCTTAGTTTAACTATATTGTTTGTTTTGATTTTTGCCTTTTTAGCATGAGTACAAGCAATAGTTATTATTTTTTCTTCCCATCATCTCCTCTTTTACAATATTTCTTAGATTCCGCGAAACTATTTCTCTTACCATATCTTGAATAATATTCATAAATTTCATCACTTGGCTTAAATGTCATTCCCACTTTAGGATCCTCAATTTCAACTTCTACATTTTTTGTTTCTTCTATTTTAGTCTCAATATCAATTTCGTCACGGCCCTCATTTGATCCACTCGATATTTCTTTATCCATATCTCTACAATGTAAATAACAAATTAGAAATTTTTTTTCATAACAAAGGCCACAAAACCCCTAATTAAGTAGAAAATTAAATAGGCCACAAAAACCCTAATTAAGTAGAAAATTAAATTATTTTATTGACTTTCTGTTGAAAATTTGTAAAAATTCAATTAGAAATTTCAACAACAAAAAATTCAAGAAGAAATTTTAGCAATAAATTCAACTAGTGTTATCTCATAACAATTTTGCACACCGCGAATTCATAACTTTTATAAATTCAAACAAATATTAACTAAATTTCATAAATTTCATCACTTGTTTGTTTTTGGTGTTGGCCTTTCTCATGATGTGCATGTGAATCAAATTGACAAATTTTAGCAAACAACACATGATTCTTGAAATGAAAATTTTGTAGGTGAAACAACCCATTTCATTGAATAGAATAGCACAAATTAAAAAAGAAAAAGAAAAAAGAGTCAATGCATGATAATGGTGCAAAACTGTGGTCTCTTTTCAAGTGTAAATTATAAAAATTGATGTAAAAAACAATGCCGGCTCAAAACATGGAAGTGCCTCAAATCTTTAGAAAAACAGAAGGGTAAAATGCACAGAAAAACAAGAAGAAAAAAATAATAAAAAAAATGTCATAAAATTGTTTCAAAACATTTAAAGCAGAGATGTAATCCATGATGGTGTTCTTGCAAGAACTCACAGTAGAAATCACGATAAGAAAACTCAGATTTTCTCGGAATACGGCGTATAAATTGTTGACCACCGGAACTGTTGGAAATGTGAGACAAAGAATTTTTTTTTTTAGAGATTGCTGTTGCCGCTAATGGGACTGTCATGTTGTTGAAGAAATATAGAATCACAAAACTTTCTCTCTCTAGGTAAAATATATTATTTCCTTTTTCTTTTTCTTTTTCTTTTTTTTTTTTAATAATATATTTGGGGTTCACCAAGATGAGTTGGCCACTGCCAACTCATTCATGAAACCTTTCCGGATAGATTATTCCTGTCCCCTAGCATTATTGTAATAAAATATTATACATTAATTAAAAGATGAAAAATCTTTATGAAGCGTTTTATAATATTTTTTTTATGACTTCTAACATTACTTGTAAAGGATTCAATAAAGAATTTTGGTACGTAGCCAGATTAGAGAGATCTAGTTTAACTTATTACAGATTTGTTTCGATAATTTAAATTATTTATTTTGTGAGATTTGTGAAGCATATTATTAATATAAAAAATTAAGTTAATCGGATCACATATATTTGAAAAAAATATAAATGGATTGTATGATTTTCAAAATGAGTTGGGCTTTTCTTAAATTTCTCACAAGTTCAGATTTAAGAAAATTGTTGAAGCTTGTAGGACCCAACATGGCTTTGTTTCGATGATCCGATTTGCTTATTTTGTAGGGCTCTTGGTATATATCATCTATGAAAAAAATTAAGTCCATTCAATAATCGTAGACCTTTTACTTTATTGGGTTTATCTCTAAAAAATTAGATGGATGATTTTCAAAAATACACATGTTTATTTTTTTGGAGTTAAACTTTATAAAATGAAAAATTTATGATTGTTGGGTTAACAAAATTTTTTTCCTACTGATGATTTACACGGAACACATCACAAAATGAATGGTTTGAATTATTAAAATAGGACTCCTTGTCGGCTCCTTAGGCCCAAACAACTTGAGAGAAGCCCAAGTCATTGAAAATAGTCTTTTTATTTATTTATTTTCTCTGGATAAATGTGATTTGATTAAGTAATTATTAATTTTCGATCAATATGATTTTTAATATAAATAATTTGCTCGATCAAAAGATAAAAAATTTGGTTCATTGAAACAGATTCAAAGTGGGCCATATTAGACCTTTCAAACTGGAGAGGAATTGTACTCAGCAATTACGTCATTGGTGTTGTCTCATTTATAAATAAAAAATAGATTTAATCTTTTCCTGAATTTTTCCCAAAATTTTTTCCCTTATTCTTAAAAAAAACAAACTTTACCTCTGGTTTATGCTGCACTTTGCCTCGTACATTAATCATGAGCTGTAAAAAAAATTTTGTACGTTTATCTCATCATTGAGAAGTGTTACAATTCATTTTGATTGAGTCTTTTTGTAGGCATACCATATTCTCCTCCCGAAACAAATGAAAGAAAAGGAATTGTTTTAGAATTTTGGAGTTTCATCGATTTTGGAAGTTTTAATTGCAAATTTTTTTCGAAGATTTTTATCAGTTGCGGGATTTTTTCCTGACCTTTTATGTTTGGAATAATCCTTGGTTCCAAATTTGATGTTATGAGCATTGACTCTGATGAATTATGTACGGCTGTTTTTTGTTTTTTGTTTTTTTTCCTCTCCATCTTTTACTTCTTTGCTGGCACTACTTGAAATATTTGCATGACATTGCTTTATGCATAATTTTAGGGAAAGTAACAGATAAATATGATAAACTCATAAACTAATTACAAATCAATGAAAATTGTGTCAGGGGTAAGTGAGAATTGTGCCCGATGCAATTAATTGCAAAGGTTTCACTGTTTTGCAATTCGTTTTTCCATTTCCTATTAATCAGTAGAAGCTTTTTTTATTTCTTTTAGTTCATTTTTTGACTGGTTTACTTATAAAAAAAATGATGATGTTATACTAATAAAATTTATTTAATCCATTAAGGGGGAATGAAACATTAATTTCATAGTGAAATATCTATCTATACTATATATAAAATGAGCATTTCACTTGGTATTCATGACCTTCATTATCTCTTTTTGTCAAGTGACTTTTTCTCCTTACACCAAGTGTCAATTTTTCCATCCAAAAGAAAAAAAAAGAATTATAATTACAAGAGGGACACATGACTTAAACCTATGACCATTGGCTTAAACAACATATATTTTCAATTAAAAATTAAAATTTATATTTTAAGCAAAGGCCTCAGTTGATGTCTTGAGCCTTACTTCTTTTCATGTCAAGTTGTTGTTGTTGTTGTTTTTATTTATTTATTTAAAAAAAAAAAATCATACAAAGAAGTGAACAAGGCTTGAATCGATAACTGTGGATTTAAGGTAAGAACACTCATACCAATTAATTGTAGGTTTAAGGTAGATTTAAGGTAAGAACACTCATACCAATTAATTGTAGGTTTAAGGTAAGAACAATCAGATGTGCCACCTCATATATATATATATATATATATACTAGGGCATTGATATACAAGTCCAAAAATTAGACATAATTTTTAAACCCTTCCGGCACACACCCGCCGGCTAGCTCACGTTTGTGTTTTCAGGTGATAAAGCGACGTCGTACGGAGGAGCGTGGACCTGGTCAACAGGATTATACGAGGAGAATTATTTCCTCCTCGTACATATATCATTTTGCATACTATAATTAAGTAATGTTGGACTTGATGTCCAAAGTCTTATAAGAAATATTTTTACCACTTGTACGTATTACAATAATAAATTCTTTATTATTTATTTGAATTGCATATCTCGGCTCAGTGCAGCATTTGATCAGATACTCATACAAACAGCATCCATGAACTCTCCATCGGATTCAAGGTCCCTCATCAACTCCAGCAAAAGGCACACCTCCAAATCCATGCTTCCTCCGCCTTCATATCCCGGCTACATCATCACTTTCCCGTCTAACTTATTCGCATATCCACTTCGAATCGCCACCGCTCTCCCCATTCCAAATCCGTT